CAGCTCGACGGGGAAGCTCGTCGACGTCGAAGATAAAATGGAGGACCGCGACGTTTTTATACGATACCTGAATACGCAGATCTTCTATGAGAAATGGAAATCTCAGCTGTCGCCTGTACCCAGGAGCTCAGACAGAGGGCATGATCAACTTCCGACTTGAATGCTGTCGGAGTCCCAAGTCAATATTCGGGGCCATTTGCTGGCGGCTAAGAAGAAAAGAAAAAGAAAATTGAACTGTGGAAGCCGGAATGTGTTTCTTGATACTCAGCGATCCTCACGATGTGTCGCCGCTTTGGCTTGTCCGATATTAGGCGGGAATTCCGTCGCCGCGGTCGGAGCGACCTCAATACACGAATGAATTTCTCCGTGCAAACATGAATGTGTGTCCGGGACGATCCTCATCGCTACAGCGCTCGCGGGGAAGTTCTTCCAGACATCGTTCTCTCCATATCGCCGCCATGCGACCAACGACTTGAGTGTCTCCTTGAGTATCTCCATTTTTTAATGGAGGCATACCGAAAAGCTGGGAAGTTCGGCATTAGTCGTCATGAGCCGCTCAGCACAACCCTCCTCATTCCCATCCATCGATGGAAAGGCGGCGAAGATTCATGAAATTCGAGGCGGTGCTCTCCATTTCGGCTCGCACTAATCGTGATGTGGAGAGCGGACTGCGGATCATGGCAACGCCCTCGATCCGACCATAAGGCTTTATTGCTTGCGGGACCCTGATACAGACATGATCATTCTCGGACATATTGAAATCGACGGTCTCATTAGGAAAATGATATTCTTGTACTCTACGGATCGACAACCCGTCGGGCCCCGTTTCCCTGGGCTCTTCGCTTCCGGAAGAGTCGAGCCGACTTGGGCAACGATCGACGATTGAGTCTCGTGGTCGAAGTGTCAATGAGGTGCTCGACTTTTTTTCCACGTCTCGTGGACGCGGGAATCGGAAGTTCGCACTCATCATATAGAGTATGGAGCGAATATTGTATGGTCTCACAGCATTGATGCGGTACCGCTCTCGGGATGAGAATCCAACGGATCGCTCCTGCCGCTGATTCGCGCCTGGCTCCCCGGGATGTCCCTAGCCTACGTTATCATCATGCTCATGGTCGTTCGAGGAGCTTTCGATCCAGGAATCCCCCTCCTTCTAATCGACGACTTTACTAATACCTTGGGTGATCCTGTCGCGAGTTTTCTACATCCAGCGCTTTCTGTCTCGGCTCCCCTACTCATGTCAATATCGGACACACCTGCTGACGAGACGGGGCAGCTCTGGCAGGCATTGTCGCCGAGAGACCTAGCCCTGTGGCCGACTAGCCGGACCGCGTTTCGCTTCCTGGAGCGCCGGAATTGTGGTTGGCCCGAAAATCCATCCAACCCTTCGGACGGACAGATCCCGGTCGCCTTCCCGGCTCCTTAGTCCAGTTGACTTGAGGGCAGAATGGATTCTAAGTGGTTGTCGCCGAGCAGGATTTCTGCGCAGGTTGACTTTTCGTTCTGTTCCTAGGGAGAGAAGAGTGCATCGCAGTGGCGGCAACCGTTTTCCTGAGGGTCTCGTACAAACGAGCTTAAGTTTCAAAGGAGGACGGATTGGCGAAATGCTGGCTGACTTGCCTACTCGAGTGTTACTTGCTGCTCTCACACTAGTTTCCTACATTGTGGATAGAAGTCGGCTGTTGAATCCGTGAACGCACTGTGGAGACGGCGAATGCGCCAGAAACAACAACAGCGCTTGCACTGTCAGGGGAGAGCTTATTTATTAGTCATCATTTCACACGGAGAGACTTGTCGGCTTAAAGCAATTAACCTCGGCAAGGTCTGGAGCTAGAGTAGAAAACAAGTCTTGGAACGTAATGCTAACTCACGCCGAGGAGGGAAACTGAGGGCCCAGAAAGCTACAACAGGTCCCCTCTCCACCCAAGGAGAAGGCAGAACGCGAGCCGCCTCGGGAAGATACACTAGGTGTTTCGCTGCGGGAGTAGAAATCAATTCGTTGAACCAGGTTGATGACCGGCAATTAGAGAGTAATAACCAATCCCGCTGCCTTCATGGCCGAAACACCCAAATACGATTGGTTTATCCGAGCGTGGAAGCATCTGCGGAGCCGAAAAGCTCATCTGGGATCAATAGTTCCAATCGAGCCGAGGAGACGCGTGTCCCGGGAATCGACTCGGTCTTTAGCCCTAAATGTCTTTAGCGGAACTCCCTAAATCGTCCGTGTGCGTCAAAGACTTCTCTTATTGCTCGTGGCAGCTCATCGCGGGGGAGTCACCAATATTTCGGGCACAAGGAGTTATTCTCGTTCCAAAGTACTTCCAGTCGTCATGAGACTGCAGAACCTGCAGTGGCGATGAATCTGCATAATAAGATACGGACTCAGATGGAAACAAGAAGAAGTCTGCGAGGAGGATATATTTTCCGCCTGGATGAGTTGGCGGTACGGCACCTCATTAACGGAAGATCCTCTTCTTTTCGTTCGATGATGGCAGGGGACACGATGGAAATCGAGCCTCTCGTCCGCCTATCCTATATGAGCTGCACGGGTCTCGCTTCCGGCGCTTCCGAGCCGCTTCGCTGGCTAAGCGGGCATCTACAAGTTCGGGCGGATATCACGGAACATTTCGATGCGTCTTCGAGTGGAACGAGTCTTTGTCCAGCGTCGTCTGCTGTGTCCCGTGCCCTTAAGGGCAGGAAAAAGTCGCCGGACAGACTTGGTTGGAGGGAGGATAAGACAGACCTGCCGCATAGCGCCGACGCTGAAATGGATACCAACGGACTGTCGAGTTCTCAGCGCGTTCGACTCGCTTCGCTCTCCTGTCTGTGGAGTTCACTTTGTGTTCCTCGGAAGCGCGCTCGATTTGTTTGTACATGGGTCCGAAACCTCTCCAAATCCATTGCATCCATAATCCCCTAAAGCGTAAGTGCTATTCTCCAAGCTTCAACGGATTTTTCCTCGTCGTCTCCGTCGTCTGAATTCAGTTCCGCTAGGTCCACGGCCTCTTCAGGAAAAATGGCTTCTGACCCAGAGTTGGTCGTTAGTTGTCCTTCCGTGCCCATTCGGGTTCACCCAGAGCGATACGAGGCGAAGTAGGAGGCGAAGCTTCTGTGAGGGATAAGCGGGGTCTATCACCGAGTATTCTGTACCGGAGGGAGTTCCTCTTCCTCCTCCCGAGTCCTCTTCGAGGCTCTCGAGAGATCCGGATTTTGTCCTTCAGAGAATCAAAGATACGAGGCTCGATTTCCATCTTGTCCCCCTCCGCGTAAGACGAGCCAGATCAGGTCGGGTAGCGAAACGGGGCTCTGTGAACTTTACCTCGACCGAGATCGGATTGCTTCGATGCACAATCACGAATGCTCACCCAGTCGGATCTGAGGAAATGAGTATTATAGTGCCTCGAGTGGGCCCGGCGTTGAGGAGCGTCTCTCGTGTAACTCATCAGCGATCTGATACGGAACAAGTGCCTTGAAAAAGAAGGGAGCGTATATTGCCTGCTCGTCAGATGATGAGGCTAGGCTCCGTTAAGGAACGAGCTGCTATTTGGGGAACCACAACCGGTTGCAACTCCGCCCTGCGGAGTCAATAATGCAGCACGGAATCACATTAGAGCTCCAGTGGCACCTCCGCGACCAGGTCGCTCGCATCCACTCTCTTCCTTATTCTCTCGCCGCAAGTTTCCGAACTTTCATGATAGTCCGTAAAGGTCATCGGATCCTCGAACTGCGTCGCCTCGAGGGAAATGTCCAAAAATAAGGTCGTCACCGGCCTCTTCAAACTTTTCTGCGCATCATCGGGAATCAGTATGTCAGCCGATGCGCTTTGTCCACGGAATGGTCATCTCAGCGCCCATCTTCCGCACACTACCCTCGGGGATGGAAGCGCGCTGGATTTTGACGGAAAAGGAGGGCGCTCTTTGACAATGTCTCCGAGCAGCTGTTCACAGACTATGACCCCGATTGGATCGGAAAGTACTGACACGACGCTTACCCGTGAACAAATGATGCAACACGACCACAAATTCCGGCCTCGAAAGACTGTCAGGGTAATCTTCCGAAGCATGTACTATCGTGCAAATATTTCCTCGTGCAATGTGCCGCCGCCCAGGTTCATGCGCAGAAGTTCACTTCAGGACTTCTGTTGAGGACTTCTGCCGAGGGGTTCCGTTGACTGAGACTGTCTGGTGAATGAGAATGCGCGAAAGGTCGTAGGGCGAACCGACAGCGTAGATCCTCGTCGAGACTGTGTACAAAAGAGCGACAGCTCGCACTTCGCTTCCGTCTTATGGAGATTAGACGTCTGCACTAGCTGTTTTTCCAGTCATCGTGGTTCGGCCCTCTGATAAGTGGGTTGGGCAAGCGGTCGGTCGGTCCGTCGCCCGGCCGGCAGTTCAAGTAAATTACCCGATTCAAAACTTTTTTCGCTGCTCGTTCAACTTCACCGCCCATGTATTCTCCGAAGGGCCTATTTATCTAACCGCTGCGCTCATGGAAGAGCGTACAGCACCCCCTACAGTGTATAGATCTTAGGGAGACGTGTAAATATAAGTCGATTACCAGCCAACGGAAGTCGCCAGAAAAATAGGTCCGGAAGCGTCCCACGTCCTCCAGGGCGGATGGGGGTATTCCTTTCCTTCCGGATCTGCTATCTACATGAGCCTCGTGCCCATCGCTTCGCGGCAGCGACGAGCGCCATATCGAGATCGAAAATGGGAAAAGGGGAAACGTCCCGCAAAAAAATTTTTCGATAATTGGGTAGACGGGAAAGACCTCGGAGTCGCGGATTCGAACCGTCTGCTTCCGTTTCGACCGAATGAATTCTGAATAGAGTACTTCCATGGGACTATTCCTCTCATTACACAGAAATGCGGGGAATTATTGCTCAATAATCCTCTTTTGAGTGCTCCATGCCGAAACTGATGGCCTGTCCTCATTTCATTGCAGACGACCGGCGTTCTGGCGCTCCTCGGAAGCAACACCGGAGCCGAGTTGGATGAAGCTCGACGTCGCGCATCTTTGGAAGAAGTTCAACTCCACGATGTGAACCCTCCGGAGCTTGCGCAGTCCAAGATGAGCGTCGACGACTCGTCTTCGCAAGGTTCTGGCCCGTCGCAAAGCGATCTCCTACCCTCTCGAGGAGAAGGTCACGCAGTTCACAGGAGCTGCAGCAGCAGCAACAACAGCAGAAGGAACGGCGCCGTTCCCGACGGCGGCGCCGGCGTCCGTTTGAGCGCCAATGAACTACAGAACGATACAAAGAAGAGAGCTACTCAGCTACCTGTGCCGTCAATCTGCCGAACCAGGCATTCGGTGGCGTCCGCGCCCGACCTGGAAGCTATCATTGTGACCGAATATTCAGTTCCAGCTCTAACCAAAACCCACAAAGGATCCTTGCAGCCTTTTAACGCATGCCATCCCCTAGCGATTTTACTCCGGTTTCGAGTCGCGCAGGTAGCTTCCGGCTTTTGTACATTTCTCCTGGGAGCATCGGCACTCCTGGACAAGGACACCAGGCGGTCGCTGTTTCTCGCGTGCATCGCCGGCTCCCTCTGTATTCTCAGCACTGTTTTGCATATAGCCGACTGTCGCCGGCGGGGCCCGAAAGGCCTGCAGTACATATTCCCGAGTGTGCACGTTACTCTCGCTGTGATACTGACGACGATTAGCGTTGTCGCTTGTTTGGCATCTTCTCTGGTTCACGCTCTTAGCACAGACAACCGGAATGTCCTCAAGCTGGCCGTGTCGCAATGTGTCACTTTGACGCCTTGGTTGTTGATCGAAGGGGTTACCGTTGCGCTCCGGGTCATATGGGCGCGGCGGCTCGTCAGCTGATCCTAGGGGAGTCGACAGGGATGTCTTTCGTCATCTGGTTCCGCCAATCATCGCCCATCATCTACCGTCTCTTGTAGTGATGTGCTTGTAGTCCTTTGAGTACGTGACGCGTCCGGAGGGAAATTCTGAGAATCGACAGGACGCAGCGAGGCCGTGTCCATGGATTCCGATATAGGATTCAATATACGCTCGGAAGTTCTCCGTATAGCACTCATCATCCAGTGTGTACATTTCGCCCTGTAAACAGACCCCGTCATCACAAACCATTCCCAACCGTCATCAGGATGCTGACCATGAATATCTTTGACAATGCCTTTGAGGATTATCACGGATTAGGTATATGTTCCGGAGCCAATTAGAATTCTACAGATTTTGGATAGGTCTCTCGTAGCCCCACTGGTACGAGGGATGCTATCTCTCGCTCTTCCCTTCCGACAGTATATCGCCGAGCGGAGCAAAAAAAATCTCATTTTTAATATCGGATTTCTATGGATCTGGATCATGTAAACTAAGAAATAACGTCAAATAAATGATGCGTGTGTGTTGTCCGTTAATGTCTGATGTGAACAGAACTTGGTCAACTCCGATCTCGGACGCAGAGCTGGAGAGTGATCGTCCAGTCCGGCGAGCGAATAGTGCGTTTTTCGGGAATCAGTCCACCAGCCTTGATGATCGCTAGGCTCATGGTGCTGGTTAGCATGATGGCGAGGGGCTGATGGAAGTCAGAGAGGTGATTTTTGGACGGAACGAGACTCGCTCCGAGGGCTTCATCACCGATTTTTAGGATTGTCGTGTTGTTCGAGGAAACTTAACTCGAGCGTTTCTAAGAGACAATCTTGCTATCTGAAAAGACGCCCTGCTTCCGTTCCTCTCTATCCGCTTGGGGAGAAGAATGTCGCGACTGGAATAGTTACGCCATTTCTCCTCGAGATTGGACTTGGAGATTCGAAACGAGGGGTGGGACGGGGGCGCGGGGGCATCCACTGTAAGCCGCGGACTCGCCGGGGCGGCGATCACCGGGAAAGCATTTTGTGCTGTGCTTCCTTCTCGATAGATATCGTCGATGATCATTCAGTGGATTGCGCATCGAGCGACGGACGGAGTCTTTAGTGCATAAAGAACAGGATTCGATATCAACGTCGACGTCTTCCACGAAAGGCATTCACTCTGTCAGGCCCTATATCGTCACAATGAGGCTCCCGCTGAAATTTCCGTCTCGCGCAGAGCTGAGCGATAATCGATATTTCCCCACTTTAATCGAATTCCGAAAAATCTGTCCGGGGGGAAGCGAGCTCGTGTACACACTTGTGGTGACGAAGTTTCCTTAGAAATACGGATCCGAGAGTCCGAATACTTAAAATCATTCACGTGAACGGAGCCTGTCCCGGCGGGGCCGTCAAGTCTTTTCCGGAATACTCCATGTTCATCGGCCGAGGCTTTCTATCAGACTCGGACACGCTAGGGATCACGCGAGATTACATTCCATCGCGTGTTCTGTATCTCGCAGAGAGTTTCCCGGGTGATGCGCGTCCGAATTTGCGACGGTCCCGACACGGCATCGAGATTATCCCTCGTCGCGACAATCTTAACAAGAAAAATTAGCTCCGTTGCCGAGCAGAAGCATTATAGCGAAAAGTCTGCGGCTTACGGGACCATCGTCGAGACATGTCGTGTGTTTAAAACTCTCGGGTCCAGAGGTTGATGATTTTCGAAAGCATACCCGACTTTCTCTTCCGAGTTTCTAGGCCAAGCGCCCGAACCAAGCCTTTCGCCGTTCGAATCGCTCTGGAGTTTCTCGCGACCTCGGATCCTCAGCCTCACTGAACTTCGAGCTAATATAAAATAATACTTCTGATCGAGCGTGAACCGCTCCGAGGGAGGCTAGAATCCCGTGATTCGTCGGCATTGGAACTTCCAAACAAGATTTCAGGTGTCATTTCCGAGCTCCTGTCTTCACCTCGCTCTCTTCCCTCGAAATGTCAAAAACGGGAACTCCCTCTGCAGAGCTCCGATCTGACCTCCGCGTCTTCCGAGATCAAGGAAGGGCGAGGATGTAGTTTTTTCAGTCGTCATGTTCTAGCTTGATGTACCCCGACGGTCAACCCAAGCACTGACCTTCCCTCTGCGGAGTACGAATTTTAATTATTGTGCGATATTTTGCAATCTGACGAAAATTTGGGGAAATCATTCTTCCTGCTGGCCGGCGTCAGGGAGAGTGAGGGGAAGACCCGATCCAACCGCTTACACTCTGGTTCCCGTCTTCCTCAAAAATCGCTTTATTCCGCTGGAGCTTGTCTACCTCGATCGCTGTTCATCTCTGATCCGCTCCCGAGTCTATGGCGAGTCGAGTGACCGTTCGGAAAAATTACTGGTTAAACTGTGTCGAGTTATATAATTTTTAAGAGCTCTCTCACGAGGACCCGCAAGAAGCAAACTCTGAGGCGCCCCTGAGATCGTTCAATGCGAGATCATTCCTCCGCGTACTTCTTCCTGGTTGTCTCTACCCTCCCCGTGCAGTCACTCTCGACTGGAGGAGTTTGTTGTCATTTCAAAGCAAAGCTACCGAATTCGCGCGCGGTTTCTCCGCTCACCGATTCAACCTCCCGACCGAATCGCATCCAAACTACAAATTGGAAATTTCGGAATGAGTGTCTTTCTCTCCGGGCTCGCGATTCCAGCCTCATATGGATGGACCAAAAATAGCCGCCTAATCTCTGCCTGCATATCACTATGAAGCCCCGATCCAGGAGATCGGTTCTCAGGTGAAAACTCCCTCCCCAAACAACGAGAATCGTTCGAGAGATGATACTCATGAATCTTGCGAGCGAGCCGCACAGGCTTCCACCCCGATGCTTTGATCCCTCCGAATGACTTCCGGACGGGAAAATTTGCTCCGCCCCCCGGGCCGATCGACTCCACAAGGTCCAGACGCCGCAGGTCGCATTACCGCAACGAGTTGGGAGAATCCGCTTGCTTGGTGAGATTGCCTTCGAGACGCGGAGGCTTTGTACTAAGCTAACATCTCGCAGCGATCATTCCAGAAGTGCACGTGTAGGTTTCCTCGCATCATTCCTTCCGGCTCAGACTCCATAGAGGTTGCGCCCAGATCAAACGATATCTTGGCGTTTGGCCAAGAGCTGAAGTTCTGCTATCGGGAAAAAGCGCGATGTCATTCACGAGTGTCATTCCGTCGTTCTCCGTTCTATTCTTCATTCAGTCAAGATCGGAGGACCGGGAACTGCAACAACAAGCGGCAGTATAGGCAGAACTGAAATAGATGAAGCGAGCAGAGTCGGAAGGAACGCGTTCGGGATAAGTCGGACACGATATAAAATGAAAATGTAATGCTGGGGAACAGGCCTCGACGGAAAACAATCGACTACCATCGGGGAAAAGCAGATCCGCTTGACGGTTTGTTCCGCTTTCCGCCGAATCGATACGCGTCCGATATGCGGACGTCATTTAGTCCTGTCAGCCACGGGGATGTCGGACGGAAGCCCCGAGCGGGGTTGGACAAGAGTAGACTGGAAGCGAGCGTTTCCCAGATCTCGATGAGGAGTCGCATGCATTCAGAGCGGGAGAATGTCAGCTTCGATTCGCAATGGAAATTTGTTTGAATCTTTCCGTGCGAAGATGACTCAAAAAATAGCTTCTTCGAGACTCCGGAATGGAATAATAAATTCAGCAGAATGATACGTCCATATTTATCCCGCCAATGGCAAGCTGTAGACATTCCATCCGGATGAATGAGTGAAACATGTCACTTTCAAAAAACTATCCGCTTCCCCGAAGCTCCCCCGACTACCTCTATCTGCTTCGCTTTTCTCCAACTATGTACATAGTAGAAGTCTACTTCCCATGTGAATGACAATGGGAGCCCGCGCCGAGCTCAGAATTTGTCAAAGAGTACAATGTTTCCATTCAGGAGTCAGGAAGATCATTCATATGGCAACTTCTCCATGATCGACTGCACGCAGCGCGATCCCGATGCTTCGGTTGAAACTCTGAGCATGTCCACCGCAGGTAGGTCCTACCCCCCGAGGTTGAGGCTATTCAGTAGCCGACTTTGAATCGTCGGAAAGTGATCGATGGGAGCGCCTATATCCGCATCGATTCCAACCCGCAGGAAATAGAACTCATTTTTGCAATCGCTGCTGTCGACAGGATTCGCGTGCGAATGAGCTGTCTCATTCGAGTATGTGCAAACGATTTTGACCCCGAGCAATTCCACGTGGAGGTTCCTATTGAGCACCGATTTTCAGGATGTTCGCTCCGGAAGGGTACCTGAGCACGAACCGCAGTGAAAGATAAGCATAAGTCTCAATGATTCCGGCCCGAAGTCTCACTAGTTCTCCGACACATTCGGCAAATGCCACTTTGGGGCCGCTTCACTGGATTTCGAGCGGGGACGTTTTGAATGACTCGCTACGGAATCTCTATGGGATCTTGGATGGCGCTGGCCTGTAGTCTCATGTGGACGAAGCGTCGGCATCGGTTTTCAGCCTCGCGGAGCGAGTCGCTGTTCAGACAAAATGTTGTCGCAACCGTATTCGCTTTACGGAATCCGGCAAGCAGGCGACCGATGTCCATGTCCCTCATCCAAAGCTGCCGTAAACTAGTCCAAGATGCACGTTGTTGACGTAGTTAGCGTCAGGTATGAGCATACGACATATGTAGGTACAAAAAGTGCTATTTTGAAACACCGGAATCCCCGCACACCAACCGTCGCCGTCATCATCTGTTTCTCCCCGCTGCTCGGCATGGGAGAGCTCATGATATTGAAATATCTCACGAGCGTTCTATCTCGCCTCTGGGGAGGCTCGCTTGAAGAGAGTTCCAAGATGAACCTCGACTACGAGGCTCTGTAGTAAATCGTCATCCGTCGACGCTCCGCCCTCGCCGCACGGCGGAGCTCTGATCTTCATCGCAACCACAATGGAAATTGAAGTGATCAAGCTCATACGCTCGATGTCGACCCTACGCTCGATTTAGACGCCTCATTTTTGGCTTTGTTTGGTTTTATGCGGCTCTGTTTCCCCGATAAGGACGATCGCTTCCCTGATTGCTGGTTATTAAATGGAGCGGCTTGGAGCCGCTTGCTCGGATGC